AGCTCTCTGTGTAGACTAAGCACCATTCTTCTTCCCATTAGCAACAAGAGGAGGAGCTGATGCAACCACCACTGTCTCTGCTGGTGAGAACACATCTGGAACCACAGGTACTGAGGGAACATAAGCAGGTGAAATCCAGGCAATAGATGTGAGAGCTTTTTGCCCCAAACCTATTCAGAGACAGTGTTACCTGGGGAATCTGAACATTATGGTCGAGGTGTTGCCAATTCTCCAGAAAAGCATGAATATATCAAGTCTGAATTTTGTTCTTAATACATTTTAGAGTCACTGTGGATTATCGTGAAAGACTAGAAAAATCTGTCACCCAGTGCCAAATGAGAAACAGAAATTAACAACCATCTAGTTGCAATAAGTAATAAGTTTAAGAGGATAGTAAGATAGCAATGAAGACAACAAGTAAGATAGCAATCAAGAGGGGAAAAGATGCAAATTGGATCATAAGATAGTTCTAGTGTACAAGGAAAAGGATGTCAAGCTTTAATCATGATTTTTGACATGATTACCCTATTTTTAACAACAATAACTTAATTGAAAGAGTTCATTCTCAGAATTAAATGATTTACCTTATTTACCCCGAGAAAGAATATCTGATGCCAGTGAATTTTATAGGGTAAATCCATCTGTTATTTTAAAGCATATTCCAGATCATTGTTGATAAGAAGTCCCGCCTTTAGGTTTCTTAAGCTGACTTATTTTTTTTTCCCTGATAAATCTCAGGCACACCTGGATCATCATCTGGAGCAACCCCTGAAGCTCACAGTGGTAGCACCCCTGGAGAGGCAGAGACTGGAGCCACTGGTTCAGGTAAGTTCTGGTTGTGATGCATATGCATTTATGATCCATGCTCTTCTGCAGCAGATGCAGACTTGTAAAATCAGGCCCTAACTTGGATTAGATTGTTGTACCAAGAAAAGTTAGGAGGATCATTTCCTTCATTTTCTAAATCTGGAGAATCTCAATGATGTGCAAGTTTTGCAGGAATAATATGTATTCTCCAAACCCCATATACTGGTCTTGACTCTTAAAAACCATAGGAGTTTCTGAAGTCTTTACCAATACTAGCCATGGAGAATTAGCTAGAGTAGACACATGTTCTGCTAGCAGCAAATCAGTTAACCTAGAGGGTGTAGTCCATGCTTTCATCAGAGTTAGGCGGAGTGTGTAAGTGTGTCCCATTTCTTTCTGGTGAAGAGTAAAGCATGCAAGGCCAAAACACTTCACCAAGAATTTCTGAGGTAGCAGTGTGTCCTATGGATTAGATGATCTTTCTAAAGTATCACACAATTGTCCCTGTATGTGCCTATGCTATGGTGCATAATGTTTGTGGGATCCTTGACTTGAAGCTTCTGATGCTGTGAGTCTGTAGCAAAGACATAGTGTGAGGTAGTGGTTCAAAATCATATTTGAGTAGAGAAAATTTTTCAACACAGACTCATTGAACATGAAACCTTGGACAAAAGAGCATATATATATACACATATATTTTAAAGCCACAGTTGCTTCTATGTTCAGCTTTAGGTCAGAACCACTACTCAAATAAGTGAATAGTAGAAATGCAGATAGATGGTGCTGTGGTCCATGCCTGAAATCTCATCAGCTCTAGAAGCTGAGGCAGGAGGATTGGGAGTGCAAAGTCAGCCTCAGCAAAAGTGAGGTACTAAGCAACTCAATGAGATCCTGTCTCTAAATAAAATACACAATAGGGCTGGGGATGTGGTTGAGTGCCCCTGAGTTCAATCCCTGGTGTGTGTGTGTGTATATATATATAAAGGTAGATAAAAATGTATCCTAATCGTAAGCTTATATAATTAATCTCATAAAAGGAGTCTGTCATTTAGAATTATTAACAAAAAAGATAATTTTCTAGAAAAGAGTGAAATGTATTTTAAAAACAGATCAGCATGATCTACTTAATTAAAAATCTTCATATTATTGTTTGTTTTGAAAGGTACCACTGAACCACCAGTTGACACAACAACCAGAGCCTCAAACAATGAAGTGACATCACCTGAAGGGAACTCAGGTTAGTAGAGAATGATTTCAGTAGTCCTGATTTTGGTCCTGGTTTGAATCAAAGTAGTTGAGCTGAATCTAAGGAGACCTAGTTGACTCAACTCAAGACAAGGAAGATGTCTTTGTTAAAAAAAAAAAAAGTGCAGTAACTAATTTGAAAGGTTTAAGATAACATTAAAGCACAAAGTCATAAGCATCTCTAGATACTGTGCCACTGGATGCATTTATTAAAATTTTCAACTCTTAGGTGTGAATGGACAGTGAGATTACCCATTGGTAATAAAGTCCAAGTAGACTGTAGGTGAGAAGTTCCTTTGATGTTCTTCTCAGGCTCTACTGGAACTTCAATTCCCATCACCTCCACAGCTGGAAGTGCAGGCACCACAGGAGGACTGAGCCCCAGCATTACCAGTCCTCGGGGTACATCAGGTAAGCCCAGTTTAGAGCAAGTTTATTGGCCTTGGCCAAGAAAATGTTTTCAGGCATGCTTCTTGGACAATATTTTTCTAAATCAAATAACTGACTTAGGTGATTTTTCTCATGTAAAATTAAAATTTAATATCATTAGCCTTTTGATATCATTAGATTTAAAATATATTAAAATCTAATATCATTAAACTTTCAACATGTTGCTTCCTTATGCAATGTTACTTTACAAGTACATGCACCCACTGATTGTTGCAGGCTTCATGCAGGTTTGTTTGTTTGCTTTTTTGCCATTTGTACAGTTGTATCAGTTTTTTTCAAGCTTCCTAAGGAACAACTACAGTGTCACCAGGTGTAACTTTAAGAACCCATAGGAATGACGCAGTTTTTAATCAGGTGAAACAAAGATATGAATCAAACACAGTATTCTAACCAACACGTTTAACTATAGCAATCACCACTCTGAGTATAGCCTAAAACAAACAGGCCAATTTAATAGTTTTACAAGTGAATTCCATGACTTTGTGCAATTTCATGTAAGTATTTGCATTTGCATATGAAACATTAATGATACACATTTTTGTCCTTTAAAATATCTGATTTACTTTCAAGTATATACTTTGTAAAAATAGTCAGGCTTAACACATTATAAATGTTTATTGTCATAAGATAGAAAATAAAAGTTCCTAAGTTTACAAAGTCTGGTTAGAACATGAACTCTGAACCTGATGGGCAATAGCTGCCTTCTCAATGTTATGACCAGTGTAATAGAGCTCATTTCCACAAAAACCAAGCAGAATATGCTTGTGGATGTGCATTGATTAAATTTAGCCAGTGTAGGACCAGGAATACAATACTATTGACAATATTGGACATAGATAATTAAGGTTGAAAACAAACATGACTCAATTTCAAACTCTCTCTGATGCCATCAGTTACAAATTTTAAGGACCTCAGAACTGTCTTCCCTTGTAGCCCATTTTCTGTGTTTTATTCACATGGTAAGTCTTTTTATGCAGTCCCTGCATTCCTCTGCCTTTCTTACACACAGTCCCTGCATTCCTCTGCCTTTCTTACCGTCCTCCTCTAACTCCATGGTGCTCACAGTGTGGTTCCTGGACCAGCAGCATTGGAATCCTTTGGGATTTTATTAAAAGTGCACATTTTCTGGTCTACCAGCAGAGAATTGGAAATTCTATTGGGTAGGTGGAATCCACAAATTTTTTTTTAGGGAATTGATGTTCAAGGTAGAGAAACAAATCTCCACAGTTCCCACTCTTTCCCAACTTCACTGCCAGTTTACACTCCAAAAATGTCATGTCAGAGGGCTTTTTTAAAGCTCACCTCTCATCCTGTGTTTGTATTACTTAGAGTTCTTAAAGAGATCTGATATCTTTTAAGATAATTAAAAAATTTATATAGCATTCGGAGGCCTTTGTGTCATGTATGCATAGGAGGTCTTAGGAATTTAAGAATCTATGAGCTGGTTGTGTTTCTCACACACTCAATTTTGGTTAGCTATTGTTTTGATTTAATATTTATGATGAATAGTCTTTTGCATAAGCTGTAGTTTTTGAAATTACTGATTTAAATGATATAGCTTATGCATAAAAATAATAAAAAAGAAACTTGGCCCTTCCCACTGGATCAGTAAATTTATTGAAATTTAAAGTGTTGACCATTTGTTTATATTCCAAAAGTCTGATTCATAATTACTTGGTTAATAAGGTTGTCTCATTCAGAGATATTTCCCAATTATCAGATAGTAAAGTATTTGAACAAGGCTACTGAACATTGGTCCATGAATGTGTGGCTTATTGTGTTTGTTAACAGCCCATGATGTGATAAGAAGTGAAACAGAGAGCAAGCATTTGGAAACAGAGAATTTTAACATAATAGTATTTTATTGTTGAATAAAAATTTGTATATTATATGGTCTTATTTCCTTAGATTTTATATTAGCATTCATTTTATA